CTGAGTGTCTCGGGTGATGGAAGGCAGCGTGTGCAGACGCTGGGGCAATTGCAGGTGGCTGTTTGGTTCCCTCTTCCGCCCCGGTGGTGGTAACAGGGCTCTCTGGGGATGAGAGTTGTTCATGCAGACATCCATACTCTCATGTGGGCAGCTCCATGTGCGAGCAAGGGTGTCTGTCTGTCACTGTCCCTCTTTTCTCAGTCCCTCGGTAAATCATGTATTTGCATAATCCGAATCAGCAAGCGCCTGGGAAAGAGGTGGATTAGTTCCCAACGTGTATTTCCCCCTCCGTGCTTAGACAGTTGCTGCAGCATCTCCCTGTCTAGTTTAGAGTTAACTTCCCATCCCACTTGTGCCATTTCAGACTCTTGCCCTTTTGGAGGAAGAGGACGACATAAACCAAATCACAGACTACTTCTCCTACGAGCACTTCTATGTCATCTACTGTAAATTCTGGGAGCTGGACACTGACCACGACCTCTACATCAACCAGAAGGATCTGGCTAGGTACAACGATCATGGTGAGTTGCTGCGCCAGGCCAGGGCATGGGCTGGGGATGGTGGGAACTGGAACCTGTAAGAGCTGCAGGAAGCTTCCCTTGCTGGACTTCACTTGGTGCTAATTGACAGAGCCATTCCTAGGGCTAGGGGAAGGGGTGCTGCAATAGGCGATCCAGCCATCTACTTCCTGGGCTCTGGCTGTCTCCAGCTCCGTGGCCAATGGCTGCAGGGGGACGATGTAGCTCAGCAGAGGAAACAGAGCGTAGCTGTAGAAAACAGCAAGAGGGACAAGCAGCTGGCTCCGGCCGTTGCCGCGAGTGGAAGGCGAGCAGCTCAAGTGACAGTGGAGCGTGGGGTGGGGGGAATAGCCCTGAAGAAGCTTTGTGCCCTGAAAACAAGATCCTGAGAGCACAAGGAGGTCTCTGGCATGAGGGCAGCTCCTCCATGTTCTGGCCCTAGCCACAGGGGTTGGGATGGTCGGCCACGACGTGTTCTTATGCAAGTGTAACCCACACACCTAGCGGGGGGATTGCTGGCCCATGGAGTGGCACTTAAGACACTTACAGCGAGAGAGAAGAATGAGGGCGCTCCACAGCCTAGCTGGGAGCCAGCTGGCTTGATAGCACAAGCTGTAGCACAGTGTTTCTTAAACTGTTTAAGACCGAGGAACACCAAACAATATTTTTTTTTTAATGTGGAACACCAAGGACTTTTTGTTGAGCAAACAAAAAAGGACCAGGGAAAAGTTGTTGAACTTTCTTCTCTGTGGCACACCTCCGACTGCTTCGCAGAAACTTTTTGTTGAGCAAACAAAAAAGGACCAGGGAAAAGTTGTTGAACTTTCTTCTCTGTGGCACACCTCTGACTGCCTCGCAGAACCCCGGTGTGCTGCGGAACACGCTTTCAGAAACATTGCTCCAGAGCCCCCACTCATAACTGCCTGCAGGCGGATCCGAACCTGGGCCCTCTGGAGCTTAGTGTAGGAACCTCTGCAGCTTGAGCCAGCTGGTTCGAATCCGCCCGGTGGTGATTACGCAAGTTCAGGATCCCAGACTCCTTGGTGGTCCTCCATGAACCCAACAGGAGCACCAGCCGCAGCCCACACATCTTCCACGTCCCCCGAGGCAGCACTAAATCACAGGCGCCTTGTTCAGGACAAAGCAACAGCAGCCCCCAAGGAAAGGCACCAGGGAGAGAGCTCGTCTGCACAACGTAGCCTCAGGCCGGACACGAGAGTCGGGAGCCAAACGCCCGGCCCCTCCAAATGCTGCCCAGCCCTCTCTGAATCTCGCTGCCCGGTCACGTTTCAGATGTGTTTAACCCTCAGCTTTTACCCCGTCGTAGGGCACTAGCCTCCCGCCTCCTTATTCATTCGCCCAGGGACCTCTAGCTCCACTCCGTTGGTCCTCTCCCTGCGTGGTCTCAGCGCTAACCCAGGGGCCTGCCGGGCTCCAGGCCTGGGAGGGGCTCTGAGGCACTTCCTCTCTTGGCTGGGGGAGAGGACAGACTGCTGTGGGGACTGTGGCTCCATCTGGTTGGGGGGGAGGGGGCGCAGCACGGCCTCATCCAGCCTGCACTTCGCCTGATCAGCTGTTTGTCGGCTCAGCGCGGCAGCCATGTAAATTTAAATGAATCCTCCAGCCTGCACTTCCCCTGCCCCCCTCCTGCCGCTCTTCAGCGTCTAGGGCTGCGCAGCCTCCTGTGGTTTCACAGGGACTGGTGGGAGCCCTCGTCCCTCCGTCCAGGACTCCCGGGACATGTGTCTCAGCCTCTCCACTGGAAGACATGACAGCAGCGCTCCCAGCCTCGCCCTCGGAGAGAGGATGCTAAGCCACCTGCAAGGCAGCACCTGAGCCATATCCCCTGGAGGAGGGGGAGCTGCTCCTCTCGGGAGGGCACTTGCACAATAGGCACAGGGACTGGAGTGCAAGGGATGGGGGCACAGGAGGGATTTGGGGTCTGGGGGAGAGGAGGAGTTGGGGACCTGCCTTCCCTCCCCAGCCCTTACCACTCAGCAGGCCCCAGAAGACAAGGCTGCCTGGGGCGGGGGGCGAGCAGGTGGGGGTTGACG